TGCTTCGAGTATAAATATATATTTTTTTCTTTAACGATATACATAATGAGACATCAAAAACGACGACTATCGTGAAATATAATTAACGATTTTCCCTTCGCCCTCAGCGCGGGAACTGCACCTATATAATATTATTATGTACCAAGCTGACCTGTTGTTGCGGACTTATTTTCCGTCGAGTGGGGTCCAATCACAGCTGCACGACGTACCCTGCAAAGTCTTGGCTGCGAACAATAATTCGTAAGTACCGAACGAGCGGCGGTGTTGGTGGACGGACGGCGGAAAACGGAATGAAGACGGCGGCGTCGGTCCGCACGGCGCGAAATTTCGAATCACACCGGCTCCCGCAGTAAGTCCGCGCCAATGAGAGCTCGCCGTCGCCCGACCTCGCCGTGCGCCGTCTCTGGATTTCGTGCGTTTTGTTTTCGTCGAGCTCGTCCCACACACAATTTGTATGGCGGAAGGGTTTTTCCGTTTTCCCGTTACCCGACGCGACGGTTAAGTACCTACCACCTCTGTACGTCTGAGAGTTTCCGCGAACCTTCCGATCGCTAGTGCAACACCATCACAACGCCATTGTCGTCAATATGTTACCGAATATTATCGTATAGGTAGGTAATGTATGTATCGGCTTTAACGTTGAACGCATTTTTGTGTTTTTATAATAATATACGCATTTGGCATTTATGTTGATGTATATTATTGGCTTTCAGAGTTTCAAATAAAATAGGTACCTATAATATATTTAATAACATCAATCCTATTATAAACTAGCACGTATACATATATATATATATGTCGGGATTAAATATCCATCCTAACACCCGCAGTTTATACCAAGCGTACGCCATTTGTAAAACATTTTTGTGCACAATACACAAAAAATACATTTTTAATAAACGACGTTATGTAATTAATAAAGTATTTCCCTCAAATTCATTGTAAGAATTCTCGATAATATTTTAGTGTTTTAGAATATATTTTATAATCTAACAATATTTACCTTTGATATTAGAGTACATCCCACATCTCTAAAAATGTACTCTAGATATAGTGACTATTTTTTACCAAATAGGAGTAGGTACTTGTAGGCTGTAAGGCTGCACTTTCATTAATTTGTTGTTCTTAGGGATAACTAACGTCTCATAAACTACTTACTTTTTATCATTGTTGATTAAGACTTGGTTTTAAAACGACTATTAATATAAATATATGTTAGGTAGTTAGGTTGGTCGTTGCCCGCTGGTACACAATTTAGAAATCTATATAACCAGGAGCGGATTCACAGTTGGGAATTATTGGTTAATAATCACATATATATCTTATAATAATAAATAATCAATTTCAAAGTAATCAATGGTTATTATAAATTACTGAATTAATTGTATTTCCAAAAACTCACCTTGGTCCTCATGATCTTCTTTTAAAACAAAAACTCCCCGATGTGTAATGCAACATTATTGTTAAATATTAACTACTTAATATAATATAGTATAATATATAATCAATAAAATATTAACTTGTTTTTTAGAAAATTGAACAGAGGATAAAATACTATTATTTCCTTTTACAGATTTTTCTTTTTCTTTCACGATTCTTCTCGCTCCACCTCAGAGATGAGTTTTTTTTAAGGTGGCTGACACAGTTCTAATAGTTCCATACTTTGGAGATCAAATTTAAAATTTACAACTGTTTATAATTTAGAAAATAACTATTTATTAAAACTACCAAATACAATTTACATAATCAAAACACTTCTGTCATTCGCAGTGTCGGCGCTAGGTATTGCGGGGCACTTAGACAAAGTATTAGCCATTAGGTACCCCAGAAAAAAATATTGTTTTTCTTCGAATTTTAAACATTAAAAATAATAATATTATGGTATTTTTATCCTTTTTTTATTATAATGTGTTAACACAAAATTATTTACAAATAATAAAATAATAACTAATTAGGTACATACAACAACATTATTATATAATTGAAGTCAGAACATATGAATTTTAGATACCTAATTAAATAAATATTTTAAGAATATAGCTCTTGCCCCTTCTATAATACTGCCATACGGGCATACGGAAATAGGCGGAAAGCATTTCAAAATAAAGAACAGAGAAACAATAACTATAGAGATTATAAATATTTATTGTAGGGACCCTATCCGACGGGTATCGTCAAAATATTACTCTTTCGACGTATCGATAACGATTTAGTTTGTAGATAACTTTATCGGCTAAATTTAGATATCGTTTTCCAAATAACTGGTGATGGGAATAATGTATAGTATAATACATAATGTGTGATTTGTAGTATAGAATAATTTATAATACATTTATAGATTTATAATTTGTTTATGTAAGTTATTACGTAAAATGTCAAGGTTATGGTATTAAGATGATAATTAAAAATCGCTGGCCCTTTGACAAGTGAGGGGCCCTGGACATATGTCCCATTTGTCCACCCCTAGCGCCGGCACTGGCCATTCGTGATGGACGTGCAACGATGACAATATTATGGACTATGGTAACATTGGCTATTTGTTGACAATTAACTTTTGACTTAAATAGTTAATTTTGATTGTATGGCAATCTGGATTATCATATCATTATGCGGTAGAGAGACAGCGAGATATTATAGAAATAGTCAAAGAATTATTATTATTCGACTACGGATTTAGGCCAGATTTGAGATTATATGTAAATAGTTTCATTAGTTCTGTTCTGGAAACGCGCATGTTGCAATCGGCCGCGGCATACACAATTTTGTACATTATTACTAGTACCATTATATCAATAGACCCATTAATATAATATATATATATAATTATAATATATTTTATATAATTTGCTATTTAGCGATTAGACTTATTTTCAATTTGTAAATATTATCATCTAATTTTATCGGCGCAGGGGTGGTATGGATGATAAGTCGTACATAGTAAAATATGATTAATTCAACTTTCTACAAAAACGATATAATATAACACAGGTTATGAACTAAGAAAATGTAAATTAATTTTTTATTTGTGAAGTAAATCCAAAGGGTCCAACGGCCCAAGTGTCTAACTACCCATGAACCCATGATCTGAAAAGAAGCAAATTCACCAAGAGGCCAACTTGGTCAGGAAATATTAACCGTGGGTCAGCTGACCCCCCCCCTAGATCCGGCCGTGTATAACATTTGTAAATTCCAATTAAAATATATGATGCTTCTGACAATCATGCTTAACCTATAAGAAGATTTGAGTAGTAAAAAGAAACAAAATTATTTATTGGTAATACCTAGGTCTTAAAAAATAATATTTAGAAAGAAATAAGTGTTGAATATGTTGGCATGTTATGCCATATGCCAAGTGTAAACTATTTTTCAATGATGTTTTCGGTGTCTAAACACATAAGAAGTCAACCAATACGTTATACCATTGATTTTAAAATATAAATATTTCAATGGTATCATTAAATCAATGGTTATACATTGTGCTCACTGCATGTACAATAGCCTGAAATAAAATAGTAAATTAAGGATATAAGTTTGTATGATACTAAAGATATTGTAGATATTAAGAAAAAAAAATTATTAGTTAAGACTTACCTATATTTTTTTGTTATTTTTTGTTTTGTATAAATATTATCAATATTAATGATCACGGAATATGGCTGTAGGATCATAATCATAAATATATTATTAGGTATTTCTGATCAATCACATTTTGTTAAGTATTGAACCAGTTGATTGTTCAATGCTTATCATATAAAGCAGTGAGAATTAAAAACTTATACGGGATATAATAGTCACAAACCAAATAAAAATAATAATATATTAATTACAATTTTTTATGTTTTGTTAAATGATAAACAAAATAATCAGGAATTATAATATTATGATTTTATGACAAATTAACCCATAATAATATTACATATTTTATAAGAATTCAATAAAAAGTTTTATATTAAATATCAAAAACTATCTAGTCCTTCAAAATAACAATTTTTTTAAAATTCAATTAATTTTGACGAGATTGTTTACTTGCATAATATATATTTATTACAAGTATAATAACATTTATAGAAATGTTAGAATTATTTTAAAAGTATAATTGAGCAACAACCAGAGCTCACGTTTTCCAATGGTTAATTTATGGTTATAGAGTATAAAGCAATAATTATTTCAAAGTGTATTGTAATTTGTAACATACTTCAGTATGTAAAATATTATTTAATTATTTAATAGATAAAAAAGCCATAAAGGTGCGTATGTATTAAATACCAATGCCATAATTGTAAGTCCAAATAGATTTAAGGAATTACTAATAATAAAACAAAAACTAATATTAGCACTAGCAATCAAAGATAAAATTGTTTGAACATATTATCTGAAATCAATTAAAAACCCATACATCAATAATATTATTATGAATTAAATGGATGAGCAATAAAATTATTGGTAAATGTGGATGTAAAATAGCAACTTATTTGGAAGTACACATATATTTTAAGTCTTAACTAAATATTTTCAATTACTTTAAATATGTGAACTGCATTTTATATATCAAGAAATAATATAAATAAACTTGAAACCAGATATTCTTTATACATTATAACAAATGATTTTGTTTAATCTCATTTATGAACATAAAAATAAAATAAAGCTTGTAAATAGTTTATTTGCCACATTTATTTAGATTTAAAGCTATAATATGCTTATGCTGCAAGTGTATATAAAATAATACATAAGTTAAGAAGTACATTAATATTATTTGTTGAATAAATACTTTCAAGTATTTATATATTTTAATAATTTAGTTTATTAATTATTTGAGTACAATTTTTTTTGTGTATTTAGATGAATGTAAATTTAACATAAAAATAACTAAATAGGAAACATTATTATTAATATCAACAGTTTTGTCATATAAATAAAATTATTAATGAAATGCATTTTGAAATATATTCATTCCATTATATTGAACGTAATGAATAATTCATCAAATCAATTTCATATATTTTGTACGATAAGCTTAACTTTATTTCAAAATTCACATTTTATGAGGAACTTATTCCAATCATCTAATAATAAAAGTAGAATTAAATCTGTACTCCATATTGTCCTCAAGGTAAAGAGCAATAGTTAAACTTAATAACATTCACTTTTTAATGTCTTTTTTAATGTCTTTTAATTTTTTTTACATTTATCACAATTGAATTCTGATGAAGAAATATTTGTTATGTAGTTTTAGAAAAACCTTTATGATAAAATATTTATTAGCTACACACAACTAAGTATGCAATTTACATATTGTTCTAATAACTTTGAAGACAAGGTGAACGATAATAATATGTAAGCTTATTTCTCCTTTATTTGCGTATCTTCCATGATCCTGTACGGTATCTAAGCCATATTGCTAATACATCAAAACCCATTTCCAGCCAACTCCACACAGGGACTATTTTGGAGCCTAAATAAAATGAACAAATTAATATCTTTACAATGAAAAATTTCTATAGTATATTGTATTACCTTCAATCTCTGTCCAATGAACTGGTACTTCAGCTAATTGAAATTTCAATTTTTCAGCTATGTATAACATTTCTACATCAAAAGCCCTAATAAATTTCATAGCAAAAGTAAGTAAAAAAAATAAATAATAATAGTTAAGCGTATATAAGTGTTATTGGAAATATATTATATTAGTTATATATACCATCCATCAACATGTATATTATTAAATAAGATTCTTGCAGCTGGCCGAGTGAATAGCTTGAAGCCACATTGTGTATCTTTGATAGTACGTACACCAAATACCCAGACATGCAAATGAAAGCACATCATCAAGAAAGTACGGAATATACTTCTTTGAGCCTTAGATTCTGATTCTAAGTGGGCACGTGAGCCACACACAACCGCATAAATCGTTTTAGCGCAATCAGTAATATCATCTAGTTAAATCAAAAAATAAATAAAGTATTAAATTTAAGTTTAAATATTCCTTATGTAAATTAAGACTGTGATGAAATTCGCGATAGGTACACAAATATATCTAAGACAAGAAAAATTTAATAAGCTAACAGGAATTTAGTTTTTGGATAAGATAAAACCAAATGATTGGTTCAATAACCAATAACCTAGTTAAATTTAAAATGTTAGTGTTTAAGTATAAAATCTGTCATTTAACACACTGCTTAAGTTTAAGTATTCATATGAAAATAAAATAATTCTTTATTTAGAAGTTTTATAGAATAACTAGTTGTTAAAGTGTAGTAATTAATTAAATATAATAGTATTGTGGATGCGAATTGAGTCAAGAGGGATGTTCATATGTTATATGTATCAATGCATACCGACAAGAGTTGAAGTACTATCTTGATATGTGTATCATTGTTATTATTAAATATAACAATCAATTTAATCTATGTACCTGTTATTTTTAACATAAGCAACACAAAATAGTCCACACACCACAGAAATATAATTTTATCTTAACGAGTTTTGCAAGAAATTTATAAAATATCTATAGTCAGTTTAGAGAAAGAATATGTTGATTCTGTACATCCCATGACAGGGTGTCACTTGGGGACAAGCAGAAGAACCAATTTTTGTCTAACTGCAGCATGATATCTTACTGGAAAGAGTGTAGTCAAATAATAAATTATATGGTCTATCGTCTTAATTTGGTTAGTGTATTAAGTATCCAGATAAATCATGAATTACATAATTTCATACTTTAACGCTAACATAATATAATCATATATAATCGATAACCTAGCAAACCATTCAGACAGATATTCAATTTTTTATTTGGTTTTTCGAATTTCTTTTTATATTTGTATTTTAAGTTTAATTCATGTTTATAAATCTAATTTATACCCTAATTACTTATAAATTTCGATTTGTACTTTATTTTATACCTATCTTGTCAAAATTATATGTCGGGCATGAATTACAAAAATAAAATAATGGAAAAGCTTTTTATATTTTAATTATGTTCTATTCATTATGCCTTAAATATTTTATTTTGAGTAGCAAAACCTTATTTTTCAGTTTTCTTCAAAATGCCTACTTAAATATGCATAAGATCTTTTTTTATTACTTAAGAAAATATTCCTATATGTAGGGTATAAATATGTTTTTAGTTGCCTAAGTACAAAATATCTCGTAATGCCTTATAATTACCTGCTGCCAAAAAGTGTAATACTGTTTCTAATTTTTCTATATCTTGGAACTTTGTAGCACCATCAGCATCAGCAAATAACAAAGTACGTCCCCGTGCACTTTGCATTCCCTGTGTGAAATATAAGTTGTTAAATTGATATTTGTTGTATCATTAATTAGCAAAAATTCAATAATTCTACTCACCAAGCAAACAGCACCTCCCTTTCCACGATTTTTGTATAATTTTAATAGGCGTACACGATCAGAACCATATTGTTGCATATATTCTATGACAATATCACATGTTCCGTCAGTACTCCCATCACTAACAACGATCACTTCAAAAGACCATTTTCGACCGGCATCAGTCAAGAAATGTAAACATGAATCGAGCATAGGCCTTACTAAACACAAAAGTTTTAGAACAGATAAAATCAATAGGTAGATAAATCTGTCATACTCCTGTCTTGTTCGTTGTACGCAGGCACAATGATCGACAAATCCAACGTGCATTCGTCCCCCAGACTGGGAAACGGCACTTGTCTGGCATTTTCGTCCATGAAATGTTTTTCATTGTCAGTCCTATGCTTATACGCGTAAGGAGAGTCTTTAAAGTACAACATCCAAAACACTAACGTCGTCAACAGCACCTGAAACACGGGGGACGTTTAATGTGAGAACGAACGAAAAACGCGACTACTCACTATGACGGCGAGAATTCCTTGCACTGGAAGTGACAACAAGCCACACATACAAAACATCGTCGACGAACCAATGCAATTTATTAATTATTATCGCAATCCCCGCCGTTAATACGTACACGTCATGTCAATGTGTACGAGGTGCAAAGGTGAATGCTTGAAAAGTCGATAAAACTACAGACAAGATCAGGAATACGTTAGCAACAAAAACGAGATGACGGTGAAGCAACAAAAAAGAGCTGACGGTGATGCGACGCCGCGGCGGACGTTATCAGTCGGCTGTCGAATTGTATTCCTTATCGTTATGGGGGTAAGAAAGACACGTACAAATAGGTAGTCGCCTTATCAGTAGTAACGTTTGATTATTGTTTTTTTTTCTTTTTTTTATTATGCCATACGTATAATATAGTTAATGTTTGCTGATAACAGTTTTATATTTTACCGATTAAAATTTTTAATTTATTGCTCAGAATAATATACATATTATGCTACCTATATGATTTGTCGTACTTTAATTTAAATATACACTCACACACATTTGCAGATGACGACTGCACAAATGTGTTGGGACAACACCGAAATGAGTAACAAAAATAATAATTTACGTTTTTAAACTCAAAAGTTTACCACGTATCCTTTACCTAGATGTTATATTTTGAAAGCAAAAAAATGAAATGTTCAGTTCATTTCTCATTGATAATTTTACTGCTCATACGACGCGGTTCGTGTTCACGTCATTATGATAGACACCGTCTATTACAGTTGAGGTGTGACTTAAGGATTTCATAAATTTTGTTCCAGTCAATAGAAAAATTTAATTTTGTTTTTGTTTTATGAAGATCGGAAGTGAAAGAAATGTTTGAACATGCATATCACGGCTACATGAAATATGCTTATCCTTATGATGAGTTACGACCATTGACGTGTGATGGTGTGGACACTTGGGGCAGGTACATATTACATACTTTCTTCAGAGTCATTTCAATAATTTATATATAAAAAACACGTTATGACTTGTTTATAGCTATTCATTATCTTTGATTGATGCCCTAGACACTCTAGTTGTAATGGGATTACATGATGAATTTAATAAGGCAGTTGACTACATAAAATATAATGTTTCTTTTGATGCTGATATTAATGTATCAGTTTTTGAGACAAACATAAGAGTTGTTGGTGGACTGCTAAGTGCCCATATGTTATCTCATAGGTATGATATATTTTTTTTAAAACTCAACATAAATTACAATACATTTATTATAGATACTGGGCATAACTAAATATAATTATTTCTATTGTTATGAATGTTCTTTGTTCTTAGAGCCACTACAGAATTAGAAATTGGATGGCCGTGTAATGGACCACTGTTACGTATGGCTGAAGATGTAGCTAGAAGACTATTGCCAGCATTTGATACCCCTACTGGTATGCCTTATGGAACAGTTAATCTTCGATCTGGTGTACCCGAAGGCGAAACAACTGTAACTTGTACAGCAGGAGTTGGTACATTCATATTAGAATTTGGAACTCTGTCCCGACTAACTGGTGATTTTATATTTGAACAGGTAAATCATAAATAACATAAGCTTACCATAATATTATTCAGCAACATTTAATGTGGACAAGGCTCCCTTGATAATTACCTACTATACCCCTGAGTGCCGAAACTCACAGGTTGAAAACCCCTGAAAAAATGAATAATTTTATTTCCAAGGTTTGAGTACAAAAAATAGTAAAATAATGATATTAAAAAATGGTAAGAAAAAAGTTATTGACAATAACAACCCCGTAGGATATTAAGTAATTTGAAATTTATTTTTTGGAAAAAACTATTTTAAGATTTTAGACAAATTCACAAAATATTTAAGTTTAAATGTTAAGTTCCTGTGAAACATTTATTCAAACATATTAAACATTTAAATATTATTGTAAAATCTAAGTTTTTTTTACCACATAATTTTAAGGCATTACATTTTCAATACATATATTTAAAACCATTATATTTATTAATATTTGTTTCATAACTAAATTGTAAAATGATTATTATTTATCCTTGTCAATGTTAATGAAGTGTTAGCAGTTTGATCCAACTTCCAATTCGGATTTCATATATATAAATAAATTGCACCGTATAATCCTTCTACTAAGTAATAAATAATTTTTTAAAATAAATAATAGCCTAATCAATCATTAAATGCATAGTAGATAAACTTCATTATATTTCAATTGAAAATTAATTTACATACAAAGTAAGGAAGTATATAAATAATTATGGACATAAATAGAATACTTATTTGCGCAACTAATATGTAATTTACTATATTATACATTTATACTGCATAGTATCAGAGATCTTCATTATTATTTTTAATTCTCAATATTGATAACTCCTAGCATGTAGGAGAAAATATACGTCATAATATACAATTGATTTATTATATGTTAAATCAATTATATATAATTATATAATTATATAATTATATATCTATTAATATACAGTGTAAGTTATAAGCTATTGCCTATGAAAGAATTCTTAAAATAGATACATCTAAAATATATCTTATATAAAAAGGAATTTATTTAAATATTTTGTACAAAATACTTTCTTTTTTTTAAAACATATTTATTAATTTGTACAATCTGTAACAGAAATTTACAATAAGCACAACGGATAGTTACATAATTGGTCATTTAATGGCTTGGTTGAAGAAGCTATTCAGTAATAGCACATCATGGCGAGTTAGTATAAAATACTAAATAAAAATTTGATGTTATAAGAAAAAATAAAAAAATAAATTACAGTTAATTGTATTAATTTAAATTATTACAAATACATAGTAGATCAGTGTTCGGAACATTCACTAAAAAAATGAATTTGTTCAATTTGTTGACAGTACTTAAAAAAGAACTCATTCACATTCGTTTTTTAAATGAATCCGTTCTCGTTCATTGAAAAAATTAATGCATTCACTTGGTCGTTCATTGAATTTTTAAATATTTTTACAATCAGAATTTAAGCATATATTTATTAAATGGCAAATAAATTGAGCCCTTTTAGTATCGTTTGAATTCATTAAAATAAAATCTCAATCTCGCTAACGTTCAATTTAATAAAAAAGAGTGACGTTCACGTATTGTTCACTTACTATGAATGTGAACATGTGAACGGGCATTCATGAACGACATTCTTTCCAAACACTTTTGTAGATTAGTTATGTCTTAAAACTATTATTAAACCATTTCAACTCAAATTCCTACGTGTATGACCATACTGGATAAATACAATTAATGGCTCTATTTTATACATATTTTCCATAAATTAAAACAAACTAGTAATAAAAAAAAATGAATGACAGTTCAACCATTTAAAATATAAATGAGTTAACACTTGAAATGTTATTAAAATGTGATAATATTCACTGGTCACGTTGTTAGTGACTAATTAAAGTTGGAATATTAAAAAAACTCATTAGTTATGTATTTAAGTTACTTAAGAAATATAGCAACTTAGAATATAAATTTGCTGATTAAAATACCAACAACTAAGTTACTAAAAAGTCAGAAAAAGTTAGGTATTACAAAAACATAATTTTTATGTGTATATAATACTAGAATTAAATTATAATAAATATGATCCAATGATAAAATATTTTAAACATGTATGGTATTAAATTAGTTTGCATAAAATATTGGGTAAAATTTTATAAAAGTGTTTGTTCAAAATTTTGAATTTTTTGAATTTGACAAATTTTTTCAATTATTTAAGAATTATTTATAATTAATAAAGCTTTTGAATAACTTTATGATTTTTTAAAAAATAACTAGTTAAACCAAGCTATTAAACAATGTAACTAGTTAAGTCAGATGTTACCAAAAAAAGTTTTTTCCAACTTTCTAACTAGTTAGTGTACAGCATTGACAATGTGACATAAAACTGTAATACAATAGGTATATTGTTAATACATATTTCAATATGTCAATTTTATAGTTATTTGTTAAATAATTTTTAAAATTGTACTTTATTATTCAGGGATAGTTCCAAAGTTAGGGAACTATGGGTCTATCCAATTCAGTAGGCCACTTATTATGGCTGAAATTGGATTAGAATAGACCTTGTAATAAAAAAATACAATATCATCAAAAAATTTCTTTGAATCAGGATATTACAACATCATAACATTTTTAACTGATATGAATCAAACATGTATACATATTTATTTGCGTTCAAAAAATATGATTTAAATTATTTAAATTTGATAATTGTTGTTTATAAATGATATATCAGACCAAAATGGCACAGTGAAATGTTTTTCACAGTATGAAGGTGCATACAATTAATAAGTATATTTACAATTATTTTAAGTTCTTAGTCTGGTTATTAGTAATAAGTAATAACTTATGACTTATTTTAATTGCATACACATTTCTTAAAATTATTAAAATTTCAACAATTTCAATACCTAATTATTTATTTATTTAAAAATAAATAAAAATAATTATTACATTTATAATGTTGTTAGGAATTTCCTGATATTAATGTGCATAAAAAAACTTTGCCCGCTCCATTTTAATAACTATCTGTCTTCATTCTTAGCTATATTAATATTATAATGTCATCTTAATGACAGTTGGGTAGCACATATTATTTTTTTAAAACAGTCACTTCTATTTCTCGGTCAGTAGCATTTTGACAACACTTCAAGGGGAGAAGCGTGATCATAGTAGGTACCATGGCAATAAAAAGAAATAGTTTTTTATAACCTTGTTGTGTGGTATTGCAAGTAAGGGAGGGGAATGAAAAATATTAGTTAATTATTTTCCTAATTATGTATGTTTTTTTTTACAATATGAACATTAGACAAGTTAGATAGGTGAAATATTTCAGATTTTTATCAAACATTAAGATAAACTATCAGAGGCACAGTAAAAACACATTTTCTAATATGATGCAGAAATACAGTTAAAAATTAATACCTATTGCAATTATGAAATGTCATGTCATAAATACGTATTCAATTTACCTTTGAAATAAAAAATAATTTGTAAAGTTTATAATTGCACATCTCAAAAAGATCTTATTTGAAAATAACTCAACTTGATGAGTTTTGAATGTTAAATAGAATAGAAATAAAATTTATATTTTAATCAGAACTTATTTGTTTGTGATTCACGTCAAATTTTTCTAAAAAATAAAAGTAATATTTACAAATCTAAAAGAAATAAATTATAAGCTTAACTAAACAAGATTTGATTAAACAGATAAAGTTAATTTGTAAGAAAAAACATATTTTCTTTACATATTTATCTCCGAACTATTTCTGATGAACTACTGGAATGATATGTAAATAAACTATACTTAGCTCTTATAATAAACTACAAGGTGAAAAAATGATTAATTTGTTTTCACCTAATTTATTATAATATAATTACTAAGGTTTTGAAAAGCAGAACTTAATGCACTTAAAAATAGTATATTTGTGTTTACTTATGTGCTCAAAACAGTTCAATTATGCTTTAAAAATATTCACTTATTTTTTTAAACCTAATTTCATAAATAAAAAATAGTTTTATATTTTATAATTTTCACTAAATATTTAATAATAAAAACTGAAAATTGAATGTCAAATAGGAATGTGAAAAACAAGATACAATAATACCTAGTGAAAATCTCAAAATGTATATATGTTACGGTCAATGTGGTCCTGCCCGGGCAATGTAAACCGTTTTTTTTAACCAACTAATATTTTTTTTATTATTATTACCTATATACAGTATTGATTATTTTTTAAAACAATCATTATTAATTGTATTCATGTATCATAGTACAATAAACTATGAATTTTTTGAAAAACTGGGTATAAACTTATTTTTGTTACTTATCATACTGCCTATTTAAAAATCAAGTGTAGAAAAGCAGAAAGACTATGTATTTCCAAGTGACATGCTTCTAAATCGTGTTCAAATAAATAGGTAATAATAAAATTATAATACTTGTTAATTTTTTTTTGTTATTCAATCAAAATATTGGTAATATTATGGTACATGAATAAAATTAATAATGATTGTTTTGAAAAAGATTAATACTACAAATAAGTAATGATTATAATTTATAATAATAATAAAAAATAATATTGGTCGGTTAAAAAAAAAATTTGTGTTTACATTGCCCGTAACATATACGTTACTATATATTTTTATTTTGTTACCTGGTTTTAAAATTTTAAAATTTTATTTCCAAATTGTATATCCTAAAATTGTTAAAATTAAAGAATATGCTCTTAAAACCACCGTCCACCAATTCGCTAAATATGTAAAAATATGCACTATACACTTAAAATATTTTTAGTAGTTTAAGTAGTAGTTGCATGAAAATATTTTTAAGCTTACTTAGCAATAAATCAAACAGCCCCAAAAAACAAGCAAATGCAAAAACATCCAAACTTTAATTTTTAATGCTACATTCTTTGTTTTTGATGTAGAATAGTGTTTAAAGTAGGAAGATTATATATCTCAATGAAATCCAAGCCTATGATTGTACTTAAATAATAAAGAATACCTTTTTTTAATTAAGTAGCTATAAGCTAACAGAAGAAAATATTAGGAACATTTTTTTCTTTTAAAAAAATCAAACAATTTTAAATACTGTTAAAATATTATTATTTTAGACCTCTTATTATAGCCGTTTTCATATATTAATTATTAAAACACACTTGTCTAACATTCTAAGTCAAACAGTGGTCTAAAATGTCCACAAATGGTTTTTCTTTTGATTATTTTAAACATTAAAACTGTAAGTGATATTTTATTATTTGATAGGTAGCTTTAAAAGCTCTTCATTCGTTGTTCAACCATAGATCTAAAATGGGATTAATGGGTAATCATTTGGACGTGGCCTCTGGATTATGGATTGCACATGATTCAGGCATTGGTGGTGGGATTGATTCATATTTTGAGTACTTAGTTAAAGGCTCTCTGCTATTTAATCTGCCTCATCTAAGAAGCATGTTTGATGAGTTAAGAAAGCCTATTGATAAGTACTCAGCAACTTCTACAGGGTGGTATTTTTGGGTGAACATGCAAAAGGGCCAAGTAACAATGCCCATATATCAGTCATTAGAATCATATTGGCCAGGGCTTTTAAGTCTAATAGGTAATTATACCTTAAATCATTAATAATTCGGATATTTAGTTTATTGTCATTTTATAATTTAAACTCTACTAAAGATTTGCTTTGATTTTATTATTTTAATTGCCCCATGTTAAACTCTTATGATATTTTTAACATATGCTATTATTTTAGGTGATATAGATATTGCCATGAAATCGATGTCAAATTATCATGATGTACTTAAACTATATGGTTTTACTCCTGAAGTTTACAACGTTGTTAATCAAGAGTCCGCCAGAGATTCATTCCCATTACGACCTGAATTAGTGGAGTCTGCCATGTATTTATACAAAGCAACTAGTGGAGACCCCTATTTACTAGACATAGGTAGCGACATTCTACGTTCTATTCAACACAGTAGCCGCACGCGATGCGGATATGCTACGGTAATATATAATGTATTTTATTTTAAATTTTTACTATACTCATGTTTTGTACAGTTGGTTTTGCAACTTTTATTGCTATCAGGTAAATCAAATCTGATCAAATACAATCTAAACAAATCAGACTAATTTTTTAAAGTTTTTCACAACATAATGTAGATAGTTAAAAAAATTTTGCACTAAAATAGATAATAACATTTCTCAAGACTCAAAATGCAAATTTAGGATTTAATGTTTAGGAAAAAAATACTTAAACAATATAAGTAATATCTTTTTTTATGCGTTTGAAATCTATTTGCTGTATTTTTTTAGTAGTACAAATTTATTGTTATCTACTAAAATGGTTATTCAATGATCATTCGTTTGCCCATAAATTTTTTTTACTTATAAGTTCTAAAAGCTTAGATATGCACAGTGGTGTGACATCAGGGGTAAGTACCCCGTGAAATGTTGGCCCACTACTCTGTTCATCTATGCTTTGAATAATTATAATTAATTAACTTATTGTTCAAAATTGGACTTCTATACATCAATTTCCTCTAAAAATTATTCTGGTTTGGAATATGAAATTATAGTACCAAAACATATTTTTCAAAAAACTGTTTGGGTTCTTTGATTAATAGAAATAAGCTGCTAATAAATACTTATAGACTAAATTCATACCTCTGATTGCTTCTAGATATTACTATTAAGTTTGAACATGATTTCAGTAAAGCTTAGACTAGCTTTCAAGCTAAAAACATATTCTTTAAAAGTATCACTTACATCTCCAATACTACTATATACCCTATACCCTTCTAAATACTTCTCATTTCTAAATCATAAAGTCAACATTAATTTTGATCATGATAAAGTAATTCAAATTAAGTTATGGTTTTTTAGCTTAAAGTCATTATTCCAAGTTAATTTGAAGCTGTTTTTTTTGATTAGATGAAATAAAATTGGTTTTTAACGGATATTCAATCTAAAACAAAATAATGTGTCTAGGTATAACAAAAGAATTAATGAATTTAAGGCAAAAATGATACTTTGTAAAACCTTAACTTAAATTATTTATTTAAAATTTTTTATTTTTTAGATTAAAAGTTGCAAGAAACATTCTCTTCAAAATAGGATGGAGTCATTTTTCCTTGCTGAAACAACCAAGTACCTATATTTACTTTTTGACCCTGATAACTTTATACATAATGATGGAAGTCATGGTAAAGTTTGGAAAACAGCTGGTGGCCGTGAATGCATAGTCGATGCAGGTGGATACATTTTTAACACAGGTAAAAACCTTTATTCCTTAATGTTCTAACATTGCCAAACTATGTTTTAGATTCTGAATGTAGTGATAATTATCCTGTAAGAATTGTATAGGTATTTTCTCTAATCTTAGATATTGCAAGTGGTTTTGCAACAAATTTGATCTAGATTGCTTATGATAAGTTAGGATATCAAAAGTATGGAATGCCCATTATTTTTTTTAATAATTTCGAAAAACTAACTAAATAAAGGTGGGAAATAAAAAAATGTATTATACAGGGTGATCTAACAAGTATGCTCACCCCCTTTTTTCTTTAATAATGAAGCTTTTCAAAATCTGATTTTTGGAATCTTTAATATACTCAAATACCATTTTTTTGTTTACTTGAGATTTTTTGTGCCACTTAAGGAGTGTCCGATAGTGGAGGTACAAACTTTTGTTTTTCAAATAATAACCCCAATTTTTTTCTTTAAATTATTTAGCTGATAATTTTTTTGAGAATTTTGATGTATCGAAATCAAAATTTGAATGAGTGGTTTCCTAGTTATTGGACAATTTGTACTAAGGATAATAGTCTATAATTGGGATATGCTTGTTCATTTCTACACATGGAATAAGAAATATAACTAAATAAATCAAGAAGGATTTTACTTGCTATTTACCTAAGTGTTTGGCGAAATAAATATAAAATGACGTATTATTTTATATTACGTGTATAGACTATAGATAACAACGTATACTGAATAAGCACATCCTTCTTCCCTATGATAAACTATATTATCCTTAGCACAAAATGTGTAATAACTAGAAAACTACTCTTTAGAATTAATACATCAAAATTCTCAAAAAAATTATCCGCTAAATAATTTACAGTAAAAAAGTGGGGTTCCCATTTGAAAAACAAAAGTTTATATCGCTGCAGGACACTTCTTACGTGGTACATAAAATCTCAAGAATATGAAAATATGGTCTGAGTATATTTGAAGATTCCAAAAATCAGATTTTGAAAAACTTCATTATTAAAGAAAAAAAGGGGGTGAGCATACTTGTTGGATCACCTTGAATACCTATTTTTGACAAATCGATTTTGATTTTTTATTATTGATTCAGAATGGAATAATTGTGTAGATTTGAATCTTTTCAACATTACATGTATTGTTAGTTATATAAATACGACAAAGTCGGGTTAGTTACTTAATTACACAATTTATAACTGAAGAACGGCTGGACCGATTTTAATGATCTATGATTTGTTGAATTCGTCCCGCCCCGAATAGCTGAATAAGTATTAAAATACATTGGAAATATTTAAGTAGAAAAAATAAACAAAATATTAATCTAAAAAGAAATTATTTTAATAATCGTATTAAAGTCGTATTAAAGTTACGTAATAATATTTGTTTTTTTTGTTCGGAAACGGTTCGCCGTGCATTCTTCGAAAATAAAATCGCGACTTCGGATAACGAAGTAAAACCCTGTAGGAAACGAGTGAGAACGACGGCTGTACATTATCGCGACCAATAATAATCCTAGTTGGCATAACGTATCTGAAAATTATTTTTATAATCGTGCGAATGTCGTCGTCGTCGTTAAGTGCATTACCAAAATCCAATGTAATAATAATATTATTTGGAAAAAAAATTAATTTTGTCGGGGCCCCCGTGAAGGGCCGTTGTACTCTCTACCCGCCCGACGTCCTGAACGAAAAGGACGCACAATCGTCACAGTCGCCGCGGCAGTGAGTTCGCGTTCCTATTGCTGTGGACTGGGGTTGCAAAATTTTGTTTTTTCCACGATTTTGCTTCTTTGATTTATGCAGTTTCATTAAATCTTTATTTTCTTCATAAAGGTGTATTATCCTAATGAACTATATTTAACTTAATACATTTTTTTGTATTTATTTTATTACGTTAGTTAAAATCATAGGTATCACTACATTAATTTACTGCTAGGCGGTACGAAGTTCGCCGGGTCAGCTAGTCTTCCATAAATAATGATATTCTTAAAATATTTATAAATCTCAGTAGTAGTTACTAACTTCTGTTAAGTCTGCAACATTACTATTACTTATAATCAGTTACAAATAATGGAATACCTTGCAGGTCCCCGATAAAAGATTTTTATATACTGATTAAGTCTACTTGCAATTTGCGACTATGTCTAAGCCAAAAGAAATTGTCATCATTAAATGAATGGTATAATGGCAATAAAGTTGCACTAATTACATGTTCAATTAGTATTAGTTTTTGATGGGTTTTGAGTTCTTTGTGAAATTTTAAGTGTGCTTAATTTTTGAAAGCCATATACTTTAGTCAGAATAGTTTTTTTTGATCTCAAATTTAACAAATCCATTACAGAAGATTCAGTGACCAAGGTACAGCTTGTTGTTTGTTGACTTTAAAGGTTAGGTAAAGTTTTTATGAGCTTGTTTATGTTGTTCTTAAAACTATACACCATAATTATTAGATCTACGTAGGTACTCTTTTTTTTTTTGTATTTTATATAATATTTATTTTTTATGATCTATGTAGAGGCTCATCCTATAGATCCCGGAATATTGCACTGTTGTTACGTGGCTGACAACAACCACTGGTCGCATCGTCAACAACCGAAATATCAACGTTTTATGAAATTGTCAATGGAAGCTGACAAAAAAAAAAAAGAATCAATCAATCAAGGTATGTTTGAAAAATAAAAAAACAATTTGAAATACTAATGTTATATTTTTTTGGTTTTGCGTGTATAGTGTATCCACATATTTTTGTTCTGGTTAATTAAATTTTGCCCATCAATTTTTTTTCTAATTTTTGATTACTCATTTCTTTAATTTTTACATTTAATACCATAAAACACCTTTAATGTTTTTGCAATACTTGCGACTTTAAATGATATTCTAATTATTTAGTTTTAGATTCTGATCGGTGCGATGAATGTATTAATTTTACAATGATGTGTGTGTTTTTATTTTTTTTGTGTGTGTGTTTTGGGACAGAAAAAGTGCTTCGACTTTATTTTACAGCATCTTTTCTGGCAGAAAAGTGAATCCATTGGTACTTTAGGGAGCCAAAAGTAGAAAATTCTAAATAATTTTCAAAAGCAGCAGAAAAAATAAACAACAATTTAAGGAAAAACGAGAATTTTTACGCAATACCAGTTTTCGAAAAAATCGATTTTGGTTTTTGGTGTAACTCTAAAAAAAATTACCGTAGATCCATGCAATTTTTCACTGAATGTTTGCGATAGCTTTATCTATATACCATCCAATTTTCAAAATATTTTGACTTGTGATGAACTATTTATAGGCATATGAAGATGTCGACTACTTTTTGTTGTTTTAAACTAATGCCAATAAAAACATTTTTGCTCATTCGAAAGACTTGTAAATATAATACATGGTTTCTCGTAAGTTTTTGTAAGTGCGGGTTAAAAAAAGAGTTGAGAGTAAATCCACAATAATAATTTTTTATGAGCGTTTGAACTTAGAATTTTAACAAAATTTGTAAAAATCACGAAAATAATTAGATCATTTCGAGTTAGAAATTCATAAAAATGTGAATATTATATCTAAGATATACAAATTGAATAAAAGATTCCTTAAAGTTTGCCTACCTTTATCAAAAAAAATGTCTTTCGGAAAGTCAAATAACATTTTTATGAGCGTTTGAAATTGAAATTTTTACATTGGATATTCACTCAATTCCTTATGTGGACATTTTTTTATTTTGTTGCAATTCAAAAATTAATTACTCGGAACATTTGAAATGTACACCATATGTTTATTTCATCAATTTATATCCTTGATAACATTTTCAAAATATTTTGACTCGTTTTAAGCTATATTGACGGACATTTTCAATTTTCATTTTTTGTTCTTTAAATGCCAATAAAATTGTATTGGTTGAGTTAAAGAGCATTCAAATTTAATACAAGATTCTTAAAAAATTGGTACAATATCAGTTGAAAAATATAAAAATACATAGCCACAGTTTTTTTTTATAAGCATTCAAATTTTAACAAAATGTTGAACTTTTATAGTTGCGGAACGAAAATTTAAAACAAAATTGCACACAAGTAGATAATTCTGTACCCAGAAAATCAAAAATATATGTAAACGCAGTTTTTTTTATACTTATTTATGTTCAAATTTGTACGAAATTACATATTTAATAGGTAACCGAGAATAATGACTTAAGTTATTTTGTTGTAATTTAAAAATATTATTCGTGGGTACTTGAAACCTTTAGAGTGTATTATTATATTTTAAATATAATTTTTTGGCTAAAATGAATTTAACCTACTATAGTACTCATGCTTACCTGATTGTAAAATCTATTACATTAATCATAATAATATCATCAAATATACTAAATTACTAAGGAATATTATAGGCCGACTATAGACGGTCTTCGCTTAGAATCGCTTTTCGTATACAATGATTTTATGTCACTGAATTCAAATATCCATTACAGTGACTTGTATTCTACTGTACCTACAGCAGAGCGACATCCTCTCACCTCCTTTTTTAATTTTTAGTTTATTTACAATAATTGAATAATGATTTCTTAAAATACATATTTTCAAGTTTTTAACTAGGTTATATAGTTAAGTAAGATTACATTTTCCAATTTGTTCTGTACTATTATGTTTCCGTAACTATAATTATGAATGACTATAACCGGACAATGTAAACTACCTTTAATTTTGTTAAAACTTTTTGTCTTTTGAACTAAAATCTACGATAGTGGAGAGGCACTTTAACGGCTTAATCGTCTGTTTCTTAATTCTATAAAACATATATATTCGTAAAAACAAATATCAGTATACCATATATTTATGCATATATAAAATCGTATTTTGGACGATATCCTTTGTTTTAATGGATTATGGTACCTGGATTTGTTGTAGCACCCTCTAAGTTCACATACCTAATGTTCGCTTATATAAGAGTCGAGTATAGGCGATTTCATCGATAATGTAACAATGTAGGTAAATTTATAAGGTGATTTGTTGCAAAAAGATCATACAAATATGTAAACTTTTTCTAACTTCGTCTTTTTACTTTTTTTACTCGTTCCAGCAAAAGGCACCCTGATCGGAGAAAACGGCAGCTCGGCAAGTGGTCACGGGTTCACCGTGGACGAGAGCAGCGTCTATTGGACTCAACAGGTGCACGAAGACCAACGGCCGCAGTTCAAAAACGATCATCAAAAACCGGCAGCGACCTCGGACGCGATCTCTGGTAGACCACCGACGATAGATTCGCTACAACCGCCGTCTCCGATACCTCCGCCGTCGTCACGGCCACCGGTGATTTATCGGACGGACGACCAACTGCAGGGCGACGGAAGGCTAGAGGACGATGAAGACGCCTCTGCCGATGACGACCATAGTGGAAACAGGGACGACGGCGGTGACAGTCGGTTCGAATCTACAACCCGACGGAAGGGGAGAGCCATCGAGCCGAACGATTTTCACGATTATGACGACGGTTTTAAAGACCCGACCACCGCCGACCACCGATATCGACAGCCAACATCGGTCGATTACGATCACGATCGCGGCGATAACGACAACGGTGACGATAATAATTGGAAAGCTAAACAGCACCGTCGGACGAGCGAAAAACGCCAACAGGACGACCAGGACGATGATGACGCTTCCACGGCCGGTCCTGACGACGGCGACAACGGTTACCAGATACTCGCGTGCCCCGCTACGAATAACTTTTACACGCATTTCCGATGGTGACGACGAGATGGCGGAAAAGCGCCCTCGCCCGTCTTGGTTGATTTATATTATTTATTATTATTTATTATGATACTGTGTTTATGTTGTTGGACCAAAAAATATAATATCGTTTATAATATTGTTATTTATGCCGCGTTGTTCAATAATATTATTCTAAGCGTGTAATCTGGTAGTACCTACCTGGCTAACTACTTACCTATCTATTCTGAATGCATTGTAATTATTGATTTGTTTGCGAATCTTTTTACTGTATTCAAACACTTGAAAACATTTTTTAATATAATAATTCATATTTTATTATTACCTCCGAGCCGAACGAAAGGCGCGAGTTCTCAAGCAGGTCTTGTACGTTGTGTATTATATAGACCTTTGAATATTTGCGGAGATTAGTTTGATACCCACTTAATACTAATACGATGAGGTTAGGATACGGTTACTCGTAAGTTGTTGTTAATGGAAATTATTGATAGCTAATGCTCATGGTCCACTGGTCGTCAAACAACTGACCAGAAAATTAAAATAGAACTAATAGGTAGTGTTCGCGCCGAACTAAATATATAGCACGTTATGCAATTCTATGCACGGCGGCGGACCATCCTTATCATCTCATTATTCCCGTTACCTCTCATTAATTGTCGTGTGATTTATTATACTATTATTGTCTTATTCTGTGCTAATATTGTAATTATTATAATTATCATTGTTCTTTGTCACCGATTATTTTCTACTCTCTTAGTCTTATTGTAATTATCTGTTATTGTTTTTGTTTTATAATCTTTTATGCGGCCAACACCTTATTATTATTATTATTTTTATTTTGTCTTTTTATTATTGGCGTCGTACTGTCTATCAGCTGCGTCCGCCCTGTTCTGTCGTTGTTCTTTAACTTGTTGGTCTGCTATTACAGCGATCATCTTTTATTACGGATGTGTAACCCGCTAATAAAGCGAGCACCGATCATGTATCATCACTCAAGAAAATATAATCTGAACTGACCAACTATTGAGTCGTAAGTTTTTATTTATTCTATTATCGTTGCCGTCAAACTTGGCAGTCTGTTTTGTTATCACCGTCGAACGTGGTGTCTCATTTTTGCACTCTGGTACGACGGATTCACTGCAAAAGTCCGCCAGCAATATTACTTTGTGTGAGAGGCCGCCCAGGTCATCTAGTTCGACGTCTGCCTACTGCATCTGCCGTCCACTTCCGTTCCAGTCCATCGGCATCTCAAGTCTACAGTAGATTTAAGCTAGTTTAAGTACTGTCCCTACTGTTTGTAAGCTCTGTGATCATTGCACCATACAGGATCGAGCACAGAGACCCTCTCCCCATAACTAACTTGTACCATCCTCGTTCCCGTGATAGGGTTTTCCCGCCCTGGTCGTTGTGGTCGTTCCGTGCATATTAAATTGCCTACCCGTAAACTACAAGGCGCAAGTACCTGTGTTCTTAAGCTGGTTGATATTGGCACCATATAATTTTTTTTTAAAAACCGTGTTCTCGGGCATTACCGAGTGGTCCTTCGGGTAGCCCTAATATTGGGCGCTTACAGGTAGTTTCTTACACATGTATTGTGTTTTTATTATTCTGTTGTGTTCCGCCAAAGACAATACTTATTTTATTTTATGTATTTTATAAGAATATTTAGAATACGTTGAGAATATAATTAATGTAATCATAAAGTTTTTAAACATAGGTATATCTATTCAGATTTCTATTTTTTTTTAAGTAGGTACCTACTTTTTAAGAGAAAGTCGTGTGTACCGTGTAATCTTTATCTTGTCAACGCATTTCGCATAATATACCTAAATGTACGCCCAGCAGTGAGCAAATCCAACACTTATTGTGTTGTTAACTTAAAATATTAGGGTGAATTGACAAACTATTATCAAATCTAACATTATATCTGTTTTCTATCGTTCGTTGGTGGGTCCTTATAAATATAAGGGGCCTCGTCACCACATGTTTTTTCGTCAAAAACTACTGTTTCTAATTCCAACGATGCGTGTCGACATTTACCACGATTTTCATTCTGTAAAAATTTTTGGATTCTCCACAATATGTACGAGGGAATGACCTAGCTATATTTTTAAGTTTTTTAATTTTAATTACAATAAATATTGTAAAAAATAAAAAATTGCAAATCTTCAAGCTTAAATATTTAACTAACCAAGTCCAATTTTAAAAATGTGCCTCGATGGATCCCTTGTACATGTTGTGAAAAAAAAAGAATATTCTGTCAGAATGCAAATCAAGGTAACCATTGAGACGCATTGTTAGTATTAGAATCGTATGTTAGAGTGAAAAAAAAATTTTTCGTGATGATAATATACGTATTGACATGTGAGTGCCAATGCGTGCGATGATGGTGCGGAAGGAAGCGGTACCCTCATTGAACCACACGCACACTAATAAATATTCACTTACGACTAACACATAGATCCCGGGCGGCGACGAAAAGATTGAAAATTGCCTAAATGTTGCTCCTTAAATATATGGTATAGCGAGGCCCCTTAAGTATAAATATTCTATATATTCACTGATTTTTAAATTTTTTATATATAGTATGCCGTAAACACGAATTTGCATGCCAAGTTTTGAAGTTACGACACTCCATCCCTCGCAAAATTAAATAAACATGGTGAGCACCAAAAACACGTGTTTCCAATCTTTTGTAGTAGAAGTAAACTTTTTTCCGAATTTATTTTGCTGATATTTTGGAAAAATGCATATCATTAACGAAATGTCAGAACGTAGTTTATTCCATACCCCTTCCCACTCGAAATCTTAAATACATTAACTACATGGAAGGCGCTATCAACAGATGTCGCCAGCCCCTTCGGCCCATGATAAAATAATTAACTCATTTGAAATTTTTTATTTGTAGATAATTAGTACGCTATATATATGTACACACACTAGTTATAAGTTACTCAACGATACATTTCCTACCCTGCACGTTATTGTACATTACTTATTACCAGGGCTCGGGACTTTATGTATTTGCATATTTGTTCGGGATGTAAATATAATAAATCTGATCCGGTACAAATTTGTGTTGTGGTGTTTGGTGTTAAAATTTAAAAGTTTATTATGCATATGTTTGCATATTTTGAAATTTTTTCTACAAATGCATATTTTTAAGATTTATTGATTTTTATCGCATATTTTAAAATAATTTTTGATAATTTACTCTTAAGTCAATTTTTTAGCAAATAAATTTTATCTACATGATTTTGTCGGAAATAATACCGATAAGGCGATAATCAATAGCGTTACGGGGAGTCTATTTTGTTTTTAGCCCTGAAGACAATATTATTTTTAATTAATCTGTCTTTTACAGTATTATTTTGTTTGCCAGTACATAGTGATCGACGGACTACGATCGCTATCGTGTGCATGTATCGTCAATCGTTGTTGTGTTCGTATTTGTATTCGTTATTTTTTTTATTTATTAGCGCTCGTATTTGTAGTATATTATGCCAAAAAAAAAAAAACACAAATTAGCCGGTTGAGAAGTTTCATTTTGGAATTTGGGGATAATGTATTTTACGTAGACGGAAAAATTTTATTTTGCAAAATATGTGAAATTAAAGTAGAATATGAACGGTGATCTAGTGTAATTACGACATACACAAACAGTAAAACATGTAAAAATGATTAAATGGAGGTAAATGTTCAATACATGAACCCAGCAAATGATTACACAAACTAATACAACTAAAATATAACTATAAATGATTATTTTTTATTACATAACAATTTTAATTGCTGGATAAAGAAGATGCTGAGTGTTACAAAATCCAAATTTGTTTTATAATATATAGTATGTATAAAATAAAAATTTCTAGTAATATTTACAAGATATGTTTTTTAACGTCTTTTTTATATTTGAATTTAATATAATTCATTGGCAATTCAAATTTATTTTTAACCTTTTCAGAGCCCAGACACATTTTGCAATGGCACATCCATATGACCAAGGTTTTTTTAAAAATTGTTCGTCTTCACATCACTTTATCTAACTATACCAATTATTTGCATAAAAAAATATTTATAATCATTAATATTAATTACTGTAATAATATGTTCACACATCATTATAACAATTCTTTGACGGTCTCATACGTAGAAATCAGAAATCTCCAAACCCCAATAAATCATTGTCACAGACAAGATAGTCTAATTATATTGGGCGTAACACGACTGCGGACTTTTTACCTTTTTACCTGAAAAAAACATAACTCGATTGTGAACTTTTTACCTTTTAATATTTGAGAAAACAACAACACGATTGCGCACTTTAAATATTTTTTCTTTGAGCAAACAGAAATAATGATGACAATAATAATAATTAATAATATACTTCTTATAGTAAAAAAAATATATGGATATACATCACAGTAACTTATTATTACGCTTCAATAATAATAATTAATAATATAATTCATATATAAAAAAATATATGGATATACATCGCAGTAACTTATTATTACGCGTCAAAAAAAAATCAAGTTCTTATAACTTTTTAGCACAAAAACATGGTTCTAATGTCAGCAAATAATTATTTAAAGTTATTTTATTATTTTTATATTTTTCCCAAGTGTTAATTATAAATTCTATATTCTCTTCTTGGCTCTTGCTCTTTACGAGGCTTGTTAATATTTTGTTGTTTTATGCTATATATTTTTAAATAAGTTTAACTTTGAATATCCAATAAAATATGTATAACTTGGTGAATAGATGGATGAGAAGTATAAAAGTGAGCATTATAGTGGTTAAGGAAAGATTCTGGCCCATTGCGGTCGTTCTTGCCTCTGTTGAAGGTTCAGTTGCCCATAACATCGGTGGGAAAGCGGCATCAGATGATATATAATTGTTCAGTTTATAGTCAGTAATTATTAGTTATTACTATTAAGTAGTTATTATTTAAATATTTGTGTTTGCACAAAGAAAAAATATTTAGGTGCGCAATCGTGTTGTTTTTTCCTCAAATATTAAAAGGTAAAAAGTCCTCAATCGTGTTATGTTTTTTTCAGGTAAAAAGGTAAAAAGTCCGCAATCGTGTTGCACCGAATTATATTATACGATCAGAGATTAAGAAATCGACACGTACCTATGTTT